GCTCTGGGCCGTAAGAAGCCATGTGCACGGCAGGGCCCCCAGCTCCCAGGCCATCACTGGCCTTGGTGGCCTCCCATGAGGCTGGGCCATAGCTGTAGGTCGCTCCTGTGTTGACACTGGTGTTCTGTGCGCCATAATAATTGTAGTTTTCATAACCTGTCACAGGGAGGAAGAGCCAAGCCACAAAGTCAGTCTATGGCAGACACATCTGGGGAGAAGCACCCACTACCCATAAAGAAGGAAGAGTGTCGAGGAACCAAGTGTCACTAGCATCACCCCACACTGTGCACATCGCCTGCCAAAAGGCAGCAGAAGGGCAGGGAGGCAGCCTCAGCAATGAGCGGTTAGGTTTTCCATGCCAGATCCAAAGTCTTATTCCCTATCCAAAGCCAGAGATGGCTGAGAAAGCACAAGAGGCAGTGGGGGCTGCTGCTCCCAGAACACCACCACAACCCTGGCCTCCAATAAGTTCTCCTTGAGAATGCCTGGACCTGCCAAGTCTTCAGGAGAGCTACAAGCCCAGCTAGAATGGGAGGTGGGGATGGGAGGTCCCTGTGTCCCAGCCCTTCTGGTTGGCTGACCAGAGGAACATCTTGCCCACTCACAGACACCCAAAGGGCCTACCTTGCCAGCTGGCCACACCAGTTCCGTAGGCACCTTAGAGGAAACAAAAACAGACAAGAGCTTTGTATACAGAGCGAAGGTACCTAAAATAGCCCCGCCAACCATCCCCTCACTCTACTACCCACAGGTCCAGGGCTGTAGGTGGCAGTCTGTGGGAGGCACCCCTGGCTGTCCAATAAGGCCAGGAATGGCTGGGGCCCACAAGCTATAAAACTCATTTCCTGTGTGGAGCACTCAGCTAAGCATAACCAAGACTTCTCTCGTAGGCAAGCCCCGTCTCCCCGAGTAGAACAAGCGGAAAGGACGCTGCAGCCTTCCCAGGAAGTGTCCAGCGTGGGCCACCAGCCAAGAGGCCAGATCTCCTGGCAGAGCCCTTCAAAAGTACCAGTTCTCACCAGCAGCCGGAGCTCAGGCACCATCAGCACAGACAATGTATCAGTGGAAAATCATGTCCTCAACTCAACTGAGGAAGGGGACATTATGTACCCTAGTGACATGAAGGGCCTCCTCCTTTAAAACTTGGTAATGGGTGAAAAAGTGATTCCACCACCCCCAATGGTGCTAGGGGCAAGTTCCAGGCTCTGAAAACAAGGAGGGCCCTCAGCTCATCCCCTAGAACAAATGCTGGCAAAAAGCAGAAAACTTCACCACCAGGAAGGACATTTGGGTCCTTCAAGCATAGAGAGCCTCGTGATCTGGATTCCAGAGCAGGGGCAGCAGTCAAGCCCCCACGTCACATCTAGCCCACTGCCCGTTTTTGTACAGCCAGCAAGCTAAGAATGGGTTTTACTTTTTTAAATGGTTGCAGATTTAAAAAAAAAAAAAAAAAGAATATTTCATGACGTGAAATGCATTCTTTGCCTCTTTCATATACTTGTCAAAACTCACAGAACATGCAACCAGTGAGTATTAACTGTGGATCATAACTAACAACAGTGTATCAACCCTGACTTGTTGCTGACAATAAATGTTTCCCACTAATGCTAAATATTAATAATAAGGGAAACTCCTGGGGTGAAAAGTAGAGAGATCATATGGAATCCTGTACTATCTGCTTAATCCCATAAGTCTAAAACTGTTGAAAAATAAAGTCTATTAGTCATAAAAATCTTTCATTAAACCCCTGGCTATTTACTTAGAATAACCCAAAATGCCTAAAATAAAGACTATCACACATGAAAATTACATGGTATGCAAATTTCAGCGCTCTTAAGTAAATATCACCAGCACACAGCCACAACTATTTCTCAATAAACATCTCTGTGACTCCTGCATTGCAGAGACTGTGTAGCTCCCAAAGCCAAAACAAATTTCACTGTGTAGCACTTTACAGAAAAGGTCTCTGGATCCGCAGGCTAGCGCCAGTCCTCCTGTCAGCCTCCCTAGGTTCCAGTTCATGGTCCCTAGGTTTGGGTACCTCAGATCAGACCTGTGGGGGTGGAATCTGCGCCTCCCCATAAGGTCTTACCTTGGGTGTTGGCAGGTCCAGCACTCCATGCCCCATAGCCTGCGGAGAGAAGAACTGTGAGTTAGGATCCTATTTGTCACACTAGACAAGAGGTGCTCCTGAGGTGCTCTGAGGAGCCAAAAGTGATAGCCTTTAAGGAGAGTTCCATGTCAGCCTCACAAGGCACCAGAATGCACACTGTCCCTCTAAAAGTTCTCCACAGCTGGTTGATTTGCATTACCACACTCCACCTGCCTGAGGTCAAGGCAGAAAAAGAGCTGGGGAGAATAGGCTTTGGGGCCAGCTCTGCCAGCAGCCTGCTGAGGGACCATGGTCTAAGTCTCAATCCACAACTTAGGAGAACACAGGACAAAATGCCAGCTGGCCCGGTAAGAGGACATAGTTGTGTCCGTACCCTGGGGGCGGTTTGGCTCACCAAGCAGCCCTAAGTCCCCCATAACTGAAAAACAAGGTTCAGAATTTGGAGATGACAACAGTACCACTGCAGGCCTCACGTCTTTGTGACTTTGGACCCTCCAATGCTCCCCTGGGCCTTCAAGTCCCAGAGCTTCAGCCTGGCCTAAGGTATCCAGGTAGCACTCCTCTCTGTGGTGGCTTCCCTTGCCCCTGTGGACTCCCATGACAGCATCTGTCTGGGCCTGTCATTTCTGTGTTCCTGGAACCTCAAACAGAGCTGGGAAAGGGCAGCTATTCATACCTGTCAACAATCCCCAACATTACAGAACAGGAATACACCGTCTCTCTCACCAGAGCAACCCAAGCCACTAGCTAAGTGTCCAACACGTGACAGGCACTGAGCACACGTTAGTGTCCCTGAATGCCATTTAGAGATTAGAAAGCTAACGCTTAAAGGTTAGGGTACTTGATCCAAAGACATGCTGCTGATGTTTGCCCTCTCCAGGCTACAGTCTCCCCATGCCACACAGCCTTCTACACGTGTGAGGTAGAAAGACCAAGCAGCGAGTCTATCAGCAAATGACCAACTACAGGGTGCTGGTCTAAGTAGCATACGCTAATCACATAACCTCACAATGCCCCTTTAGGTGGGTAATAATTACCCTGTTGTACCCAGAGGCTCAAGTGGCTGTCACTTGCCCATGATCTTGGAGCTGGAGAATGGAAGAACTGGGACCTGAACACAGATCTAGATACCTCCTACAGCCAGAGAACAACTGTCAAGACTCAGGAAGTCCTGAGAAATAACTCTAGGTGCCAAAGCTAGGAAGAATTCAGGGAGGCCCCACCACCTAAACTGAGCCTGAAGGGTTTTGGCAAACAGCAAGTGAGGGAAACAAAACCTCTTCATGCTCAGGATGTGTACACGGGGCAGAATTACTGTCTGAGAGATCTGGTGGGAAGCAGGCAAAAAATTGCGAGACCCCATCAGATTGCAGAAAAGAGGGGGAGAAGCCAAGGTGAGGCACCCCAGGACCCTGGAGGCAAAGCACACCGTGCACCTCAGGACCTCTCTTGCAATTCCTACTGCTGGATCCTCACACTGCCACCTTTCAAGATCTGTGCCTTCTCTAGCGGTTGCGGCCGAGATCAGACTGCTTGCTTCTCCAAGCTCACATACTTGGATAAGGACTGCACCCGGTCAAGTCCTATCCCACGTATTCCAAAATTCGGCTGCTTCCTCCAGGCAAACCTGACTGCCAGCACGGAGTAAACGCCTCCGAGGAACCCCTGATTCTGGACACTGAGACCCGGCCGCTAGAGAAGATCCGTCCTGCTACGAGGCCCAAGCGGCACACTCCCTCTTTCACAGCGCTCAGCCACCTCCAGGCCACCCCCCCTCCCCGCCCCCAACGCACAAAAAGACACCCAACACCTGACCCCGAAGTCTTGTCCCTAGGCCAGCACGAGTCCTGCACAGGGCAGGAGTCCGCCGAGACTGACCCCCGCAGAGACCGTGCTCAAAACCACTGCGCTGCACCACGGGACTGGAGGTGAAAGATCTGACGCCGCGCCGCCCGGACGACTTCCGGGACCCGCGCGACCGACCACGTGCACCGCGCGCAGGCCCCCGCGAAGCCCCACAGGCGGGAGACAGGCAGCCCAACTCCCTCGGGCTCCAACCGCGGACCCCGCGCCCCAAGAGCTCTCGCTGTGGCTCCGCCCCCGGGCGCCGCCATTTTGTGGTCTTCGGAAGGGGAAGGCGGGCGTCCGAGCAGCCGGGTCCACCGGCCCAGCCTCGCTGGGGCTGAGGGATAGAAACGGCCAGGACAGCCCAAGGCGCCCCCCGAAGCCCGCCGCAGCGTCTGCCCGCCAAACCCCGCCCGCCTCCTCAAGCCTGGCCGACCAATCCGCACGCAGCGCCCCGGGAACGACGGCTCCTAGGTCCAATGAGCAGCGCGCGCGCGCGCCCCGGCCTCCTCTCCGCGGGTCGGGCTGGAGTAACCGCGCTCCGGCGTAGGCCCGAGTCCGCGGCCCTCTACGCAGCCGTAGCTGCGTTGCCGAGGGAGCACCCGTCTGCCTCCACCCCGCATTGAGCCACCAGGACGAACCTCCGTAGCCCTGCTCCATGTCTTCAGCTCGGCCCGCCAGCAGCCCCTTTTTCTAGGCTGCCACAGGACGCATGCGCTCAACACACCTTCCGCCGCCCGCTACTGGAAAACCAGGCGCATACGTCACTCTTTCCGCACACCACCATTGGCTAGCTTTCACCGCGCACCCGCCCCTGTCGCCCCTGCCGCCCCTGCGGGCCTTCCGGTTGCTTGGGCTCGGCTTTCACAGCACCTTGGGAGTTTTGGTCAGGCCACGGAGCCTTACTGCGCGCAGGCGCTTCCGTCTTTCTTCCTGCCGCCAGTGCGCAGGCGCAACCCTCACCGCTTCCCGGGTCCCCCGCGCAGGCGCACACCGCTCCCAACTGCGGCGACCCTGTTGCACACCAACAAACGAACTAGAAGTGGGATGGGAAGAGCTTTATTAGGCCCGGTTTCCAGCTTTGGCCACGCGGGTCCTGCCCGCCTGGGGCCCGGGTTACGGTGCGCCCCCGCCACCCTCCTCGTCGTCGTCGGCCTCCACGTCGAGGCCCGGGATACCGCGGATCTGGCGCTGAAGCGCCCCGCCCAGCAGGGGCACGGCCTCCTCCTCCTCCTCTTCTGGGGGCGGCGGTGGCGGTGGTGGGGACGCGGCCTCCGGCGCTGGCTCCGGGGGCACAGGGGGCTGCGCCGGCGCGCCATCTGCACCCTCGGCGCCCCCTGCCGCTTCGACCAGCGCTCCCTCGTCCAGGGCGCCGCCCTCGGCCTCCTCCTGTTCCTTCTCCTCCTCGGGGCTATCAGTGAACGGGTTTTCACCCTGTAGGGAAGGAGGCCAACACTGAAGCGAGGGAAGGACCCGTGGGGGCCAGGTGCCAGGGGCCGGCGCGCCTCACCTTCAGGTAGCGTTCCAGCTTCTTGCTGATGATTTTGTTGTTGAGGATGCTGCGAGCCACCATGAGCGAGGACTTCTTGGACTGCTCCATCATGAGCTGCAGGCAAGGCAGGTAGGGCTGGAGAGGCTGCTCTGGGCGCCAGAAAGCCCCCCTACCCCACCCCACCAGATCTGCAGAGTCCTCCCAAACCCCTTTGCCCCCAGCTCAGCACAGCCAAGCACTCTAACCACATGGTGAAATCAGTGTACAAGTGTACCTTGGGTACAAGCGTAGGGCCACTCTACAAGCACGGAGCCAAGACCTGATCTGATCTTTGCTCGAATGCTCCATTCTTCACACCATACGTACTGTATGTAATTGATTAAAGACATCTGTCTTTACGGCTGTACAGCAGAAATCTGATGTGCTTACATAAAAACTACAAACAGTGAACAAATTAGGAAACCTATGAAAAGCCAGAGGTGCAACCCATAACGACAAGCCAACTGCCCATATGTAAGGAACTTTTTAAGATTAACAGGGAGGATATAAGAACAGGAATACAAATGTCAAACAGTACATTTAAATGATATACCTCCTCTTAGCCCACTGAAGAGAGACCCTTCTACCCTGAGGGTGACAGGGTCAACTGTTTACTTACTTTCTGGAAAGCAGTTTGATAAAATGTATCAAAAGCAAAAGCTTGTCTCAAAAATTTGTCTCAGTAATTCTTTACAAGACTCTATCCTAAGTTTAAGACTTGGAAACATACATGCACATAGTTGCAGTAGTGAAAAACCGTAGAGTACCTAAAAGTTCTGTGAAGTAGTTAAAACATTCTAAAGAACCCCATGCAGTCCTTAAGACAGGGCTCATCTCTGGGGCCTCTGGATAGCTAAATTGGTTAAACCACTGACTACAGCTCAAGTCATGAGCCCATGGTCCTAGGATCAAGCCCCACATGGGACTTTGCACTCAGCAGGGAGTCTCCCTCTGCCCCTCCCCACTGCTTTTGTACCCTGTCTTCCTCAAGTAAATAAATTAAATTAAATTTAAAAAAAAAAAAAAAAAAAGGCTCATCTCCTGTGTGGTGAGAAAGGTCTGTGATGGGCCAGTGTGCATAGTATGCCAGGGCATTTTTTTTTTTTTTTTTTTTAAGATTTCATTCATTTATTTGACAGACAGAGATCACAAGTAGGCAGAGAGGCAGGCAGAGAGAGAGAGGAGGAAGTAGGCTCCCCACTGAGAAGAGAGCCCCATGCAGGGCTCGATCCCAAGACCCCGGGATCATGACCTGAGCGGAAGGCAGAGGCTTTAATCCACTGAGCCACCCAGGCACCCCTGCCAGGGCATTTTTGTCTGGAAGGATTTATACCAAAATGCTAAGTGGTTTCCTCAGTAGCGTAAGTACAGGCAAATCTCACTTTCATCATTATGAAGATAATGTATGTGTAAAGCCATAAGCTGAAAGAAGATAAAAGCTATTTCTGTTGGCATGGGGAGCCCACCCCCAGGAGTCCTACTGCTGCACCCCAGCCAACTCTTAGATCATCCTCTCACTTGCTGTTTCTATTTCCTTTTCCCACCTTCACCTTTTTTACTTTATTCATTTTCTCTACTATTTGGGGAAAATATGGATAGTCCTCATGCATGCTCAAAATGAAACAAGTTAAAGATGTACAATTAGGATGCGAGGTCAGACCATTTCCTCTGCAACTCCTTACTTGCCAACACATGATCCTCCTCCCTGTAGGCACGGAGATGTACACACAGCTCCCAAGGGAAGCCCATTTACATGGTGTCCAGATTTTGCTACAAGAACCAAACACCACCAGAATAAACTTAAATACTTCCATATTGGTGCTACCCAACAGGTTACCCATAGTGTGCTGCCTCAGTCCTCTGCAAAAAGTTGTATTAAGCTATAGTAAGTTGGGCTTCCTCTGCCTGTACTAAAACAATATACTTATCCCTTTGTCTCCTAAGCAGCATCAGATGTTAGCCCTGTTGAATACTTATGTGGTTGAAGGAAAGAAAAAAGGCCTCTGGCATTTCCCTGTCCACCAGTGAATGTGAGTGATCTGACAGACACACGGGGCCCCTTGCCCAGCATTCTAGAAGGTCATCTTCTCCACGACCTCTGGATTTCCTGGCTTGCTCAGGAAGGCTTTGTGTAATGCAGGTAAGATTCTAAATTTTGCTCTTTTATTTTTCACATTATTTCTGGAATTTAATATATGGTAGTAGGTTAGGAGTCCAGCTTTTCCCCCCAGAAACTAATGAGATAAACAATTGTTTCTCCATTAAGTTGACATACAGGTCTGTAATAATCCCTTCTCCACAAATCTTAAATCCAGAGGAAGAGTTTTCTCCTAAGCTCCATTGTGCGTGTGTGTGTGTGTGTGTTTGTGTGTGAGATTTATGATTTTATTTACTTATTGGCACAAGCAGGGGGAGCGGTAGGCAGAGGAAGAAGCATCCTCCCCGCTGAGCAAGGAGCATGATGTGGGACTCTATCCCAAGATCTTGGGATTATGACCTGAACCGAAGGCAGACGCTTAACCAACTGAGCCACCCAGGCATCCCTCCATTGTATTTTTATACCATCTTTATTTATCCCACTTCTATAAGTCATTTGAGGCATTACTGATGGTTCAACTATAAGTCACTCTCCCAGGTGCCACTAGGGATGTTAGTGATCATTACCACGTAGCTGTTTGGAAATCCAAAAACTAATTTTTTTTTTTTTAAGATTTTATTTATTGATTTGACAGAGAGAGATCACAAGTAGACAGAGAGGCAGGCAGAGAGAGAGAGAGAGAGAGGGAAGCAGGTTCCTTGCTGAGCAGAGAGCCCGATGCGGGACTCGATCCCAGGACCCTGAGATCATGACCTGAGCCGAAGGCAGCGGCTTAACCCACTGAGCCACCCAGGTGCCCCCCAAAAACTAATTTGAAAATATCTGGCCCTTGAGTTTCAGAGAAGGAACATGTACTGACTTTGACAATTACTAAGTTCCAAAACATACCGGCATCTTTCATTAGACTCTATTCTGGTTCCACCGCTTTATTACTATGCCAGTATCACATTTTAATTGTAGTGGCTTTAAAAAAGTTCTATTTGCTGGGCACCTGAGTGGCTCAGTAGGTTAAGCCTCTGCCTTCAGCTCGGGTCATGATCTCAGGGTCCTGGGATCCAGCCCCACATCGGGCTCTCTGCTCAGCAGGGAGCCTGCTTCCCCCGCCCCTGCCTGCCTCTATGCCTACTTGTGATCTCTCTCTCTCTGTGTCAAATAAATAAAATAATAAAATCTTAAAAAAAAAAAAAAAGTTGTATTTGCTAAACCAACTCCCTGAACTCAATTACCACCCTTTCTATAATTTTCTTGACTATTGTTAGACTTAATTCTACAATATAAACTTTAAAACAATTTCATCAAGTCCCCCTCCCCAGAGTATGACTGGAATCCCGTGAACTGTACACATTAATGCGGGGAGATGTACATGTTTATTCTGTTCTGTTGTTAAGTCTCTTAAGAAGAACGCCATATATTCCTCTATTCAGTTGAATTTTTATTTCCTATCCTTGGCATTTAAGATCCCATATCTATCTTCTTAAATCTATATTCCTAGTTGTGTTATATACTTTGGGGTTACTGTGAATAGATTTTTCACCCCCCTTTTTATAAGATTTTTATTTATCTGACAGGGATCACAAGTAGGCAGAGAGGCAGGCAGAGAGAGAGGGGGAAGCAGGCTCCCCGCCGTGCAGAGTCTCCAATGCGGGACTGGATCCCAGGACCCCGACATCATGACCCGAGCCGAAGGCAGAGGCTCAACCCACTGAGCCACCCAGACACCCCAATTTTTCCCCATTTTCATTTCTAACTGGGTATTACCAGAATGGAGAAAGGCTGTTTCTTTCTGGATATTATCTTGAATTCCATCCCTTTATCACATTCTATTAATTCTAATACCATTCTGTTGGAATCATTCAGCTTTTCTAAGAATATAATCACATTACTTGCATATAAAGTTTTCATTTCCAGCATTTCACACTGATACTGTTGCTAATTTGTTACTGAACCATCCTTGTATTCCAGAAACATACTAAATTACAGTGTAGTACATGGGGCGCCGGGGTGGCTCAGTCGTTAGGCGTCTGCCTTTGGCTCAGGTCATCATCCCAGGGGTCCCAGGATTGAGCCCTGCATCGGGCTCCCCACTTGGCAGGAAGGAAGCCTGCTTCTTCCTCCCCTACTTCCCCTGCTTGTGTTCCTTCTCTCACTGTGTCTCTCTCTGTCAAATAAATAAAACCTTAAAAAAAAATGTAGTATACACTTGAATCTCTACTATATTGGTAATTACTAATATTATACTCAACACTTTATTCTTTAACCTACAGTTTCATCTTGGCATTATCCTTATCAGATTTTTGGAATTAAGGTTTAAAAAATCTTCCTAAAAATACATCAGAGGATACACTTCCAGCATGACAACTTGATAAGCTATGTGAACCTTCTCCTTAGTAAAACTGATGAAGACTATAGAACAACACAACCCTTTAAAGTCAAGGGAAAAGGTCCTAAGGACATACAGCAAATGAAGAAATATTGAGTAAGGAAAAGTTACCAAGCTCAGGTCTTACCTAGAGACAGGCCTTAAAACAGTGAGCTTCCAATTCTCTTTCCAAAGGAACTTATTTTTTTTTTTTTTTTTAAGGATTTTATTTATTTGACAGAGAGACACAGAAAGAGAGGGAACACAAGCAGGGGGAGTGGGAGAGGGAGAAGCAGGCATCCCGCTGAGCAGGGAGCCTGATGCGGGGTTTGATCCCAGGACCCTGGGATCATGACCCAAGCAGAAGGCAGAAGCTTAACGACTGAGCCACCCAGGCACCCCCACAAAGGAACTTACTTTATTCATAAGTGTGTTAGGAAGTTTAAGACAGAGGGCTCTCTCAAAACAGTGGAGGGTGTAGGGAAAAGCAATTCAAAGGAGACCAGCAGATTGGATACTAATATAAGCTAAATCATCAGCTTCCCCCCATTACCAGAGAGAACCAATAAAACAGCTAAGAAGAGCCTACAGGGGGGCGCCTGGGTGGCTCAGTGGGTTAAGTCTCTGCCTTCAGCTCAGGTCATGATCTCAGGGTCCTGGGATCGAGCCCCACATCAGCCTCTCTGCTCAGAAAGGGAGCCTGCTTCCGCCTCCCCCTCTGCCTGCCTCTCTGCCTACTTGTGATCTCTCTCTCTGTCAAATAAATAAATATAAAAAAAAAAAA